CCCCACACCCCCACCCCCACCCCCACCCCTTTGGGGCTGAGGGCTGGTAAATCTTCAACATCAACAATCTTTTTTTCACAACCAACAGAGATGGATTTACTAAATTTTTGTAAGAGCATCTTTTGACAAAAGGGCCTCAATTTTGTATCAACGTGTTTTTTTAACCAAATGTGGTCTGGAGCATTCTTAGGGAAAGAGGACACAATTTTGTATAAACTGAAGGTTAGGGTTAACCATTTACAAAATTGCTAGAGATGAAGAATGTGCTCTTGTATTTCTTGTACTCCTTTGATAAGCTGGTATGGTAAATACTCTGCAGGTTTATACCAGGTGAGCTATTAAGACCCCTGGGCCTCTTGTCTTAAGGACTCCCCACCTTTTCTTGTCTTATTTTTGTGTTGCCATTTCCGTAATGCGTATCGGCATTTCAATGCTGTAGTGAACATTTATGTCAACACTGGTTAAGAATTAGTACATTTGTGTGCCGATGATATGTCAACACCTGCTATTGAGACTTAACTGGGAAATGTGTAATCACACGTACTTCAGAAATAAATCTTCTGATACAAAAACATAAATAGACTCACGGGAAGACACTGACAGGAGACCAGATGACCTCAAGAAGGTCACATATGAGGCGCATGGAATGCAGACTGATGTATTTTGTGTACCCACCTCACATGTGCATATCACATGCTTACACAAGCTTGATGTCAAAAAAGATGATAAAGCACCAATTCAGTATTGAATTTTATGTTGTTTTGATAAAACACTTGCAAAAAAAGTGCCCTTGTGACCGCACTATTTGTACCTGGCATTATTGCACGATTGAGATACTGTTAGCCCCCGAAGTTAACTATTTAGTTAGTTCCAACCCTATGGTACTCTTGTTATAGAAAATCTGTTATACAGCTTCAATGATATCGATTCTGTCAATTGATATATAGATTGATATACATGTGCTTGATTAAACCTTCAAAACCAATTTTTTGGACATTATAGATGAGAAACTGTTCTTTGTTCTTAATCAGTTTGAATTGATGGGCAAAATGTTACTGTTTACAAAAAGATGAAAATTTAAAAAAAAACTGTCATTTCAATTTACATGTAAAAAAATAATCAACTGTGTGTTTCAGGAGGATAATGGAAGAACAGCCTATGCTTTGTGTGGACTTGAAATGGGTGCATTCCGGGAGGCAGAACAGCGCAAGTCAAAGTAAGATTTTAAGCAGTGATTAACATATTAAGGCAGATATATTGTCAGTATCTCATGTTTATGTAGATATATAAACTTTATATATTTTACACTTATAATGAAACAAGCTTTTACAACTTATATAAATCACCCCTGTTGGCCCGGATGTTAGGGTGCAGGGGGGGGGGGGCTTACTGTGGGAGGAAACCTGAGTACCTAGAGAAAACCCATGTTGTTGGGCGAGTGACACCAGACCTTTTCACGTGCGATCAGGGAATCAAACCCTTGGCCACCTTGGTGAAAGGCAGGTGTACTATCCTCTGTACCACCAGACCACCCATGTTGATGTATTTAATTTGATCTACAACAATCTTTAACTCTTCCCATTAAGAAGCTAACAGTAAATAAATATTGAGTAGCTCATTTCCTTTGATTTTTGAATCCCTTGCCAAATGATAGCATTTTTAGCTCACCTGGCCCGAAGGCTTATGCCGTGGAACGACGTGCGTCGCGTCAAGATTTTACTTCAAACAACATATTGTTCAAATAAATGACCTTCACCAATATTAAGGTCATAGGGGTCAAATATGTTAAAAACTTTAAACAACATCTTCTTTTAAAATAACCAAAAGGCGCAGGCTGATGATATTTGGCCAGAAGCAAACTGGGATGAAGGGCTACCAAGTTATTCAAATAAATGACCTTCAACAATATTAAGGTCACAGGGGTCAAATATTGGTATGTTAAAAACTTTAAACAGCTTCTTCTCAATAACCTAAAGGACCAGGGTGATGATATCTGGCCAATAGTATGCTAAGATGAAGGGCTACCAAGTTTCTTCAAATAAATAACCTTTACCAATATTAAGGTCACAGGGGTCAAATATGTTTAAAATGTTTAAACGACTTCTTCTGATTAACCAAAAGGACCAGGATGATGATATTTAGCCTTAACATGCTTCGATGAAGGGCTACCAACTTTGTTAAAATGAATGTCCTTGACCTTATTCTAGGCGTCAAATATGTTTAAAACTTTAAAGACTACTTTTAAAAAAACATAAGGTCAAGAATGTTGATATCTGGCCAGTAGCTTTCTAGGATAAAGGGCTACCAAGTTTGTTAAGATGAATGACCTTGACTTATATTCAAGGTCACAGGGGGTCATGTTTGTTTAAATTTTTAAACAATTTCTTCTGAATAACCATGAGGCCCAGAATGTTGATATTTGGCCAGTAGCATGCTTGGATGAAAGGCTATCAAGTCATTTGAATGACCTTGGCCCACTTTCAAAGTGACCTGTGGTCAAATATGTATAAACCTTTAAATGAACTTCTGTCAATAAACAAAAGGTCTACGGTGGTGAAATTTGTTAAGTTGTATGCTGAGATGAAGGGCTATAAAGTTTGTTCAATGTAATAATCTTGTTCGACTTTCAAAGTCACAGGTGTCAATTTTTTTAAAATCTTTTAACAGGTTCTTTTCAATGACTTATAGTCACAAATAGTGATATTTGGTCAGTAGCTCTATTAAAGATTACTTTTAAGGTTACAAGAGTGAGATTAATACCAGGTGAGTGATGCAGGCCCATTGGGCCTCTTGTTCATGAATGGATGGTGTGACAAAATATGAGTGGGGCAGGACCAAATGGGGGCAAATTTCTACTGAAGTTTTGCTTAACCAATTGTTTAATAATCATCTCCTAAACCGTGACAAAAATATATATCTTATTAATACGCAGATTAGAAATGCGAGACAGCTTTGTAGCCTCTGGTTGACATTTTTGTCTTTGTCAACATCAGGCCAATTTTGACAAATCTTAATACAAGTGATATTCTCAAATTGGCATAAATGTTTCTGTTATATTCTCTTGTCCAGATAAAAACAATGTTAATATCTCATGGTTGTCATATTAAACAATAAAAGAACAATATAACATACAACTTAATTTATAATTCTCCTTTACTTCCTCAGGTATTGGTACTTTGGAGGGCTGAAGCACCGAATGACCTACCTCCGGTCAGCCTTCTTGGACTGGCCACCAGTTTTAAAGGCCAAATTGTCATACGTCCTAGCTACAGAGGAGAACACACAGCCAAGGCAACAAACAGAACAGCCAAAGGAACAGCCAAAGGGTAGTTGGTTGTCAATGCTCTTCAAACCCAAGGTCATCAAACCTAAAGGTGAATTCATCTGATTTGGGTCATTTTTAGCTCACCTGGCCCGAAGGTGCGTCGTCCGTTCGTCGCTGTCGTCCGGCGTCTGGTGTCCGGCGTCAATATTTTACTTTAAACAACTTCTTCTTAATAACCGCAAGGCCTAGGCTGATGATATTTCGCCAGAAGCAAACTTGGATGAAGGGCTAGCAAGTTTGTGAAAATAAATGATCTCACCTATATTCAAGGTCACAGGGGTCAAATATGTTAAAAACTTTAAACAACTTCTTCTGAATAACCGAAATGATCAGAGTGATGATATTTGGCTAGTAGCATGCTGGGATGAAGGGCTACCAACTTTGTTCAAATGAATGACCTTCACTCATATTCAAGGTCACAGGGGTCAATTGTCTTAAAGTTTTTTAAACAACTTCTTCTGAATAACCAAAAGGACCAATATGGTGATATTTGGCCAGAAGCATGCTGGGATGAAGGGCTACCAACTTTGTTCAAATGAATGACTTTCACTCATATTCAAGGTCACAGGGGTCAATTGTCTTAAAGTTTTTTAAACAACTTCTTCTGAATAACCAAAAGGACCAATATGGTGATATTTGGCCAGAAGCATGCTGGGATGAAGGGCTACCAAGTTTGTTCAAATAAATGACCTTCACTGGAATTCAAGGTCACAGGGGTCAAATATGTTAAAAACTTTAAACAACTTCTTCTGAATAACCGAAATGCCCAGGGTGATGATATCTGGTCTGTAGCATGCTGGGATGAAGGGCTACCAGGTTTTTTAAACCTTTTAACAGGTTCTTTTGAATGACTTATAGTCATAAATACTGATATTTTTCTTGTAGCTTTATTTTTTGATCACTTTTAAGGTTACAAGTGTGAGATTTAGACCAGGTGAGCGATGCAGGCTTATTTGGCCTCTTGTTTACTTTAAAAATAAAAAGTTCTTATTAGGTGCCTTTGACTTTCCAAATGTGAAATAATATGCAAAGATTTAAAGATTTAAAAATAACAGTTATTTCTTGATACATATAAAGGAAGGTTTTCTTAAGCAGCATGACTCATTTAGAAAACAAATAAGGGTTAAAGTTATTACTCGAATTACCAGAAATAGATGATGGGGCAATTTTAACTGTTATTTTAATGGGTTATTAAAGCAAACTTGACAGTACCCTCCAATATCGCAAAGTGAAATTGACCGACTCCTGAGTATCTCGTATATGCCCCCATTGCGCATCTGTTACAGCCTTGATTCTCATGTGCATGGAGTTTGTTCATCAGTGCATTTATGCATTTATCCTTCTCATGGGGATATTGTTCCACTCTTCCATCGCAGTCTATAGTTGGTCGAGAGTAGCAGGGGCATTCCAATGCCCCGTTACCCTCCTGTCAAGTTCCTCACACAGATGTTTGTTTGCGTACAAATCTGGACTGTACGGTGGCCAGTCAAGTAGGTTGATCTTATGGTTTGCGAGAAAGACTTGACAATCAACGGTGACTTTACCCAGTGAGATATCCCTCCTCAGACCATAACTGAGCTACCCCCAAACCTATCACTCTCAAGAGTCTGCGAAGCGTTCCCCACGACGTCTGTATACAGGACGTCGACCGTCCAGACAAAAAAGAGTGAAGGGATACTCATCTGTAAAAAGGCATGTCTTCATTGCTTCATTGGAAATCATCTGGGAGCATGTGCAAACAACAACGCCATACGACGTGTGTATGTTGCACCTAGCACGAGTGAGAGGCAGACCAACTTAAGGATGACAAGTTCGCAGACCAACCTGTCGCAATAATTTTTTTACAGTTTTTGGGTGAATTTGGCGATTATGATTGCCTACCGTATTAATAACAGCTTCAGTGGCAGGAACGTGGCAATTACGCAGGTTGGCAAGACAAATAGCCCTGTCTCCACGTCGGGTCGTTACGCAGTTATCAAAACATCACACATAAGTACTTACTGGTTGTGATAAAGGTGTTTAAAAATTTCTGAGGTCAATATCAAGGTCACTTTTACTAAAAATAGCCCATAGTTTTACAGTTCTTATCTCAGAATCAATATAACTAATCTTTTTGATAATCCACATGTTAATAAACTGTGATATGTAGATGTGAAATAGAGGTTTAAAAGTTTCTAAGGTCAAGGTCACTGTTACTGAACATAGATCAGGGGGTGGGGTTGCTGTGGTTGATTAATTAAGGCCCTTATCTCAGAACCATTTTTCTTAAATTAACACTTGGTGATAAATCTTAGGAAATTCAAAGGTCAAGGTCAATACCAATGTCACTGTTGCTTAAAAGGTCAATGGTGGTGTATGGTGGGTATGAGGGGGAATGGTGTACAGTCCTTATCTCTGAACAATCTTTATGAGATTTTGACATTTTGGGGTTGGTGACGGTCAGGCACATGATTGGGCCCTTGCTAATTTGTCAGTATTCATTGCACAATGTGATATGCATACATGCCAGATTTCACAGTGTGAGGCAAAATTTCTTGTTTTTTCACCTCTGATAAAGTCTCACGGCGTGGGACATGAAATTACGGAAAGTTCTCCAAACCTCACTTTTTAAATGATGGATCCATGAACCATTTTTCTGTAGTTGTTTTCTCTGAATGTTGCGAGATTCTGCAATGTTATCAGCAATAATCCACGAAAGCTATCGATTAGCGGTCATGGGATGGTAATGTGATCAGTTCTTATGCGAGAGTTCTACAGATAGCTTCCGGAAAATTCAACTGTGTTGTTGGAATTGTGAATTTATTTCGGTGTCTTTTTAAATTAATAATAGAATCTATTAGAAAAACAACATAGATTCATTGTGTATATTTAATTTGATCCTTTCTTATTATTGTCTTTCATTTACGTGATACCCTAAAGTTTATACCTCAAATTATCAGTACATCTAGAAATAGCACAAAACTGGCTTTTTGTCATATTTGTAATGTAAGGTCGTAGCTTTTAAGACACTTTGATAAATATGATGTTGGGCTACATGTTACTTTACAAGTAAGAACACGATGAACATGTCAAAGAAGGTGTAAAAAGGTTTTGTTCTGAAGGCTGAAATATTGAATTTAAAAGTTTTATTCTGAACACAGTTTGCTTTTCTAACAGAACTGAATATTTCTATCGTCTTGTTAAACGCATGTTTCCAGATTCAATTTCATTGCCCCAAAGTTCAAGTGTAAATGAACAAAGAGAACTGTTATCCTTGCAAACTCATCAAAATCTAAAGTTAAAAGTTAAATGTCTCCTAAATTGAACAACAGTAGTACTGTGGTTGTTGTGAATATTAACTTGGCCAACTAAATTTCAAAATTTAAAGTAAATTATGCTTCTTCAGTTTGTCTCGACTGTGATATTCCGTTTTGTAAACATTGAGCTACTATATATATAATCATGTACAATATGTACAAGAAACTTTGCCAAAGTCGAAACCAAGTTCCTGATTTAATTATTTTGTGCTTTATGGAACAAGATAGGTTCTTGCTGTGAAAAACACTGCATATAAAACCTCCCTCATTTTTAACTAAATTCCATCAAAATGATTGTAAAACTCAATATGACAATTTTAACTGTGAACACTCACTAACTACCCTCTGTCAGTCTGAAGTTTTAACTGTGAACTCTCACTAACTACCCTCTGTTGGTCTGAAGTTTTAACTTTGAACACTCACTAACTATCCTCTGTCAGTCTGAAGTTTTAACTGTGAACACTCACTAACTATCCTCTGTCAGTCTGAAGTTTTAACTTTGAACACTCACTAACTACCCTCTGTTAGTCTGAAGTTTTAACTGTGAACTCTCACTAACTACTCTCTGTCAGTCTGAAGTTTTAACTGTGAACTCTCACTAACTACTCTCTGTCGGTCTGAAGTTTTAACTGTGAACACTCAGTAACTATCCTCTGTCAGTCTGAAGTTTTAACTGTGAACTCTCACTAACTATCCTCTGTCAGTCTGAAGTTTTAACTGTGAACACTCACTAACTATCCTCTGTCGGTCTGAAGTTTTAACTTTGAACACTCACTAACTATCCTCTGTCAGTCTGAAGTTTTAACTGTGAACACTAACTATTCTCTGTCAGTCTGAAGTTTTAACTGTGAACACTCACTAACTATCCTCTGTCAGTCTGAAGTTTTAACTGTGAACACTAACTATCCTCTGTCAGTCTGAAATTTTAACTGTGAACAATCATTATTATACCTCTACTTTATATACTCTATATAAAAGTAATTGTTAAATCAAATATATCCCCACTTTTGCCTGTCTGTGTCTTAGTCCTGTGTGTTTGTCTGGGAACTAAAACACACCTACACTCGGGTGTTTCTGCCAAGCCAATCAGGCGAGAGGTGGGCAGAGCGTGTTACCAAACTCGGAAGCGACGCGCGAGGTGGGCGGGGCTTGCTACCGAACTCGGAAGTGACGCGTGAGATGGGCGGAGCTTGCTACCGAACTCGGAAGCATTTGGCTCCATTGCCATCAAAGGGGTATTTTGGACGTGAAGCTATACATGTATACAGCTTATGGTTTACAAATATTTTCTAGTTAAAACTATCTCTCCAGCGTGTATTGGTATAATAAAACAGTTAAAGTATGGGGTTGAGGGATATAGTTTCTGGTGTCCCTTGACAATGCCTATTTCCCTCGGCTTTGCCTCGGGAAATAGATCTGGTCTCGGGACACCAGAAACTTGCTATATCCCTCAACCCCATACTTTAACTGTATACTAACTACCTTTTGTCGGTCTGAAGATTTACATATTTTTTTTAGCAGCTGAGCTGTTTGAGGAGGAGACTGATGATGACAACGATGTGGTAGAGACGAGGAACTTGTCCACTGTGGAACTGACCACTGTGTCCACCTGCCTACAAGACCCGGGGCAGGTCAGTCAAAAAGTGTGCTTAATATTTTAGTCAAATATAGAAAATCTGTGCCAAATACTAGATTTTAGTACCAGTCATAAGTTGTTTCACAAATATTAGACAGGCACTGTTAAAGAATAAACCAGACTCATTATAAGTGAATGTTACAATTAGCAAATTAGACAATGACACATATACACTAATCATATAGCAATCTACTGTATACAATAAAACATTTTTTGATCAGGTGGGATGAATTGATCAGGTTTGGCGACAGACAGATGATAAAAGAAGTTAAATAAAGATGACAACATTTAATAAGATATGAAATAGCTCAACAGTGCTTTTGTTGTTTAGACATAGTTGCTATATATAATATAATAATAATATACAACATTTTATATAGCACCCTATCTAGCTAACCGAAGCCACTCTAAAGCGCTTTACAGTACATAGATATACAATCAATACAATTAACATATACATTAATCAATACAATTTTGAGGAAGTCGCAGGAGCTGCCTTATCAGGCGCTAACTACTAGTCCTATGCTACCTGGCTAATATCTCCCTATGTGTGTATGCCTGCGTATGTGCTGGAGATGTATTGTGTTCTGTTTGTAGTGGAACCGTGCTTCCAACGGTATCATTTATAGTGCCACTTCACTTGAATGTAACAGCACAGATACCGCAACATCCACCCCAGACCATTTTATACTCTACCTGGGGTGTTGGGAGTTGTGCGGGGCAGGAGAAAAACACTTTCTCTGAATATTCCATGCATACGACGACTTCGGGGATCGAACCCCGGCAGTCTGCGTGGAAGGCCGGAGTGTTAACCACACAAACAAATCAGCCCATACTGTATATGGCTACATTAATTATACAAAATACAAAAAGGATTATTATATTTGGCCATTCACATGCAATGATGAAGGGAAACTAAGATTATTGAGATGAATGAACTTCATCCATATTCAAGGTCATAAGGGTCAAAAATGGAAAAAAAATAAATGACTTCTGTTGAATATCCAAAATTGCTAGGGTGATGACATTTTGCCAGAAGCACACAGGGATGAAGGGCTACTAGGTTTGCTCAAATGAATGACCTTCATCAATGTTGCAATGTCACTTGAGTCAAATGTTTAAAAACTCTTTAGACAACTTTTCTGAACAACTTAAAGGCTTAAGGTGGTGACATTTAGCCAGTAGCACGAGGGGATACGGTTAGGGTTAGGGTCACTGGGGTCAAACGTGTTGGAATATTTGAACAATGTTTCTGAAAAACCATATTGTCCAGGGTCAAGATATTTGACCAGTATTATGCAGGGATGAAGGGCTAGCAACCACATTTATACAAATAAATGACCTTGACCAACATTCAAGGTCACTTGATTCAAATGATTAAAAAATCTTCAAAGAACTTCTTCTAAATAACCAAAAGTCCTGTGGTGATGACATTCAGCCCTATGGTGATGATATTTAGCCAGTAGCCAAAAGTCCTATGGTGATGACATTTAGCCGGTAGCCAAAAATCCTATGGTGTGACATTTAGCCAGTAGCCAAAACTCTGATGGTGTGACATTAAGCCATTAGCTAAAAGTCCTATGGTGTGACATTTAGCCAGTAGCCAAAATTCCTATGGTGATGACATTTAGCCAGTAGCCAAAAGTCCTATGGTGATGACATTTATAGCCAGTAGCCAAAAGTCCTATGGTGATGACATGTAGCAGGTAGCCAAACTTCCTATGGTGATGAAATTTAGCAGTTAGCCAAAAGTCCTGTGGTGATGACATTTAGCCAGTGTCCAAAAGTCCTATGGTGATGACATTCAGCCAGTAGCCAAAAGTCCTATGGTGATGACATATAGCCAGTAGCCAAAAGTCCTATAGTGATGACATTTAGCCATTAGCCAAAATTCCTATGGTGTGACATTTAGCCAGTAGCCAAAAGTCCTATGGTGTGACATTTAGCCAGTTGCCAAAAATCCTATGGTGATGACATTTAGCCAGTAGCCAAAGTCCTATGGTGATGACATTTATAGCCAGTAGCCAAAAGTCCTATGGTGATGACATGTAGCAGGAAGCCAAAGGTCCTATGGTGATGACATTTAGCCAGTAGCCAAAAGTCCTATGGTGATGACATTTAGCCATTAGCCAAAAGTCCTATGGTGATGACATTTAGCCATTAGCCAAAATTCCTATGGTGTGACATTTAGCCAGTAGCCAAAACTCCTATGGTGTGACATTTAGCCAGTAGCCAAAAATCCTATGGTGATGACATTAAGCCAGTAGCCAAAAGTCCTGTGGTGATGACATTTATAGCCAGTAGCCAAAAGTCCTATGGTGATGACATTTAGCAGGTAGCCAAAAGTCCTATGGTGATGACATTGAGCCAGTAGCCAAAAGTCCTATGGTGATGACATGTAGCAGGTAGCCAAAAGTCCTATGGTGTGACATTTAGCAGGTAGCCAAAAGTCCTATGGTGTGACATTTAGCAGGTAGCCAAAAGTCCTATGGTGATGACATTTAGCCAGTAGCCAAAAGTCAAAGGTGGTGTTATTTGGCCCCTAGCATGCAGGGAAGAAGGGCTATCACATGTGTTAAAATGAATTGCCTTGAACTTTATTTAAGGTCACTGAGGTCAAACATAATAAAATATTAAAACAACTTCTTCTGAATAACGAAAAAGACCCAGGATTATGATATTTTGCTTGTAGCATGTTTATATGATCTACTTTCAAGGTCACATATGGTGAAATGTGTATAAAACTTTAAATGACTTCATCTCAATAAACAAAAGGTCTAGAGTGGTGATATTTGGCAAGTTGCATGCTGGGATTAAGGGCTAAAAAGATTGTTAAATTTAGTTACCTTTTTAGAATTTCAAGGTCACAGGGGTGAAATGTGTTTTAATTTTTTTAACAGGTTCTTTCGAATGACTTTTAGACTCAGATTCTGATATTTTGCTTGCAGCTTCATTTTAGTCCAGTTTTTAGGTTACAAGTGTGAGATTAATACCAAATGAGTGATGCATGCCCATTGAGCCACTTGTTTTTTTTCAAACTAGAAATGTCTTTTACTTATGATTTTTAGACTGTGAAAGGGCTGGAGCTTGGCATTGGACCTGCTGAACCTTCTATATGGGAATTTATCTCAGAAGGGTAAATATGTCTTAAATAAAATTTACCAAAACCTTTTGAATAAAGTGTAATGCCATGATGTTAAAAATAAACTCATCATCTTCAGTTTCTCTATGAATTTGTGTTAAACCTTTATGTAGTGTCAGCTTTATTTATCAAGAGTATGTGAAATAAATTGAAAAATATGCTACACAAAAGATGCATCAACCAACACTTACAGACCCTGGACCGTTTTTCTTGTCCGTTTAAACGCAAACGCAACGCAAACGCAACGGAAACGCAACGCAAACTCAACGCAAACGCAATGCAAACGCAACGGAAACTCAACGCAAACGCATACTTACCGTTTGGTTAAACACGCTCCTAAAACGCAGTTCATAGCAGACAAATAACGGAATTTGATTTAGGTGTACTTGCTCGACGAAGCGTGTCGGTCTCTGACCCAAACTCTGACCTGTATTTACCTATACAGCGCTCGCTTGTTATTTGCACAGCGGCGGATGCAGATGTACTTATAGGCAACATTTTCCCCGTCAGCACCAACAAAATAATTTGGAATGATGATTTGTCCCCTGATATTTTCGTGAATATTGATAATTCATTTTGAAATGGAATTAAACTTCTAATGGTATCCGTTTGGAACTCAACAGTACATTACATTTAACATCTAATCACTAAATCTACACGACGTAAAACCCATTCCTTTTTATGAATTCATAAGATTAAAAGTATATTTGATGTTGGTGGTTTCTCACTTATCTTTTAATTTAATTTCTATATTTTCCCCAAATATTATTTCAAGGTGAAGTTACGGGAATAGTCTTGAACAATGGTTCTTCGACATCAACAATACATATGGATACGTCTAGTGGGTAGTTCATTTTTTTAGACTCTAACTCTGAATCTGTTGCTGAAAAAAATATTTAATCAATTTGTCGAAAAATAATAAACAACCCAAACTAAATAACGTACGTGTAATTGTTTGTTTTATTTAAACTAGGTGATTGCAAATGTTCAAAAGGAGATGAAATATGAAACTTGTGTTTGGAAAATATTGGATATGAATATCATCATATGTATAAAACAAGTGAATGTGATGTGTTTGCATAGAATATTATTCCTGTATTATCTTACAAATCCAACTGAAATGATGCAAGCGAATTCCGTGTAATTATTGTTTTTTTCTCTCTTAAAATCGTCCTTCTCTACTTATATCCCAAACAGGTATAATTCTTATGATATTCTCTTTAGTGGTATTATTTGATAATTATAATCAGTATTTATATGAATGATATTGAAGCCGGAGCGTTAGTTATATGTATCTTATCTATACATCTTACAACACAACATACATGTATACATTCTATGCACCCTGCTACGCTTAATCATACTCATTGCTGTACCCACGGACTCAAATAATCTAATTCCGTGCTGTACCCTCAAGTTACACATTTTCATTTGTCTGAGTGATGAAAACATAATCTGAAATCTGAATTACTTGTGTAATTCCCTCCTTACTAAACGGCCTTGAACCAAAGTTTTTTTATTGCTTTCTCTTGACAGTCATTTTGAAAGGTATATTGCACAAACAGCACTGATTTCACTATCCTAAACAATAGCGAATTAATCCCAACTGTCATCTGCTTTTACCTTGCCTTACATTTATTATTGTTTAAACGTGTGGTCACCCCTGTTACCTGCGGCTATTGTTATTTCGAAGGTAAAGACCACAAGGTTACTACCTGTGGTTTCAGGCACAGGGACCCGGGAATTTGCTACAGTTGTTTGTTTGGACCTATCGCGCCGTATAGTAATATTAGATCTTCTTCTTCTTCTTCTTCTTGTGATGAGGCGTCATGTAGATTAACTTAATCTGAGAATTTAGGAAGTATAAATTAGATGTTTTAGTGGTTAACACTATTTCTCGAAATAATTGCCGCCCCTCCTTCTAACCGCACCCAAGAAATGTACCCTGAACGTTTTGCTATATCAAGCTATGGAAATACTTCGTTTAATACAACCAAAGGCTAAGAAAGTGTGAACGTCGTAGTTGACTTCGTTTCCGAGATATTGTGATTTATTTGAAAAATACACCTTTGGCTCAGCGGCGATCGCCACGATATTGGTAGCCCACATACCTGACGTCACAAGTTCAACGCTGTCAAAACAGCCCTATACCGGGAAACTTAAATTTGATCGTGCGTTCGATATGTGAGCTTTTTAGCTACTTATATGATATATTCCGTCGTCACTTGCTTGTGTAGGTAATATTTAAAGTACTACATACATATATTTTGTTTTCCCCATTTTAATGAAGAAATAAGTTTCTACTGAGAAGGCAAATGATGTGCTGTAATGCGGGTGTCCGAACACACATGCGGGTGCTATCTAAATGAATCCGTGTTTTTACATAATTCGTTAATCTAGTGAATGTAAATATTATACTTTTTATTATTTAATTGATCTCTAGAAAATTTGATGAGCACCTATATACAATATAAAGCAATTGAGTAAAAATTGAGTCAAATTAACGTAGGAGCACCCCACCCTTTTCTTTACAATATGTAGATATACGATTGAAACAGACGAAAACATGCACCGGTACAATCATTTATGCTCAAATTGAGCAGCAACCCGAGTATTTTTACCCCCAGTTATAAAATCTTGAAACTTTTTAAATTTAAAACAATCTTGCTGAGGGAGAACCGGTCCGTTCAAGTCTCACAAAGATTAGTAATATCACGGAATTAGATAAGTCCGTGGTAATATATAATGTGCATAACAGGGTCCAGCATTATTTGCCTTGTTACTGACTTTCATCTGTCCGGTGATGCAGTTGTACTGACTTTGATTTGCATATAATGTGACTCTTTGGCAGTACTTACACATTTTATTTATCTTTTTCTTGAAATTGATCCTTATACCAGAGACGTAATATATACGTCTCTGCTTATACATTTCCCTGTTATCTAGACTGAGGACATTGCAGTTAAATGGAAAATTGGAAGACACATAATCTACACCAATCTACATACTGATTATTATATTTCTAACTGCTTTATCGCATGAATATGTTTATATGATTCCATGATAAAATGAGCATATTTTAGCAAAGATATGGTTTATTTATAAGTTTATATTTTAGATGAATTATGTGATAATTTACTATTGTAAATTAAATATTTATAGTGTTGATAAATATGTTTAACACGTGTGTATTCTAATGTTGATTTAGGCAGTTATGAATGTAATATGCAATTAGTTGAGACGTAAATAAATGTAAATAAATCAATATAAATATACTAACTTTAGGTACCCCCTAGCCCACCTGCTAACATCCTTTTGATGTCATACCTGGACACAGGTATATTGGTGCGTCTTGGGTCTCCTGCTGTCAGCACTGGACACGGGTGTTGTTTAGTGTTATTTACCTGTACACAAATGTCACACCTAAGTAGGTTAAGGGAGTGGATCGAGACGATTTTCATTATTGAACGAAGATGTTAAATTATAACTTGGGTTTATTACATGTATATGAAGAGAAAAAGTTTGAATCTTATAATCCAATTATATTTTTGAGATAAATATAATCACGGAATTAGATTGTCTAAGTCCGTGATATAATTTAGCATCGCATACAGAGGTACTGTATTGTATAAAAACAAATGTGTGTCGGTATTTTGCTTTTTAATTGAAGTGTCTCCCTAACCAGAGACGTATACGTCAATTTGTCATTAAACGGTAATATTGAAAAGATGCCATACATTTTATTGACATTCAAAAACAGCATATACCAACGTTGAAGTTATTTTGTAAACATTTTTCAATGATATATTTCCATGTTTTTTTTTACCGTTGCAGTGCCACAGTATGTGATTGTAGAGCAGAGAATATAAAGTGTATACGTCTGTGTAGAGTAAAAAATTGCAAACTGACTTTCCAGCCTAAAATAAAGAATCATTTTTGATCGACAACATTGAGAGTATTTGCACAAAGTTCTCATCAGTGCTCAGAATTTGGACACGCAATGCTTCCAGTGTGTGTTAATAATAATATACAGCATTTGATATAGCGCTCTATCTAACTAACATATAAGCCACTCTAAAGCGCTTTACAGTACATATATATATAATTAATACAAATAGCATTTACATTAATCATTTCAATTTTGAGAAATTCGCAGGAGCTGCCTTATCAGGCGCTAACTACGAGTCATATGCCACCTGGCTAATATCTCCCTATGTATGTATGCTGGAGATGTGATGTGTTCTGTTAGTAGTGGGACCGTGCTTCCAACGGCATCAATTAAAGTGACACCTCACTTGAATGCAACAGCACAGATACCGCAACATCCACCCCAGACCAGGTTATACTACACCTGGGTTGTTGGGGTTGTGTGGGCAGGAGAAAAACACCTTTTCTGATATTCCATGCGTCCGACGACTTCGAGGATCGAACCCCGACCGCCTGCGTGGAAGGCCGAAATGTCCGTCCTATTCAGAGTCGTCAGTTTGATATCAATTAACTCACTGTCTGGAAATTCTGACGAATTGTATATGGCTGAATACCATCGACATATAAATGTTATCTTCAGCACAATATGATTCCTCAAAACTAAAAAAAATATTAATCCGCGATCTGACGCTGTATGACCATGGCTGTTCTCTAACTCGCCTATTCCTGCCATGATGAATGCTAGAGGCGTTGAACTTGTGACGTCACAGCCGATAGGGTCCCATTCGCCGCGAGTTATGATTACGACCGGTTTTTATGCGGTTTTCGGATAATATAGAATAATAATATATTAGTTTCTATTTTCATTCGGGGTACACTTTAATACTCTCGGGTCCCTGTGGACGCAGATACATCCTTTGTCGACGTATCTAGATTAAATTTCTCCAACGAAATCTTAGAATTTAGGAAGTATAAATTAGATGTATCTCAACCAACATTTGGGGAGAATGATTACTCCGACATATCAGGATAAGTCCAAACAAACATTATTGTAACTAATTAAATAGCTTATACTACTTTTTATACGTCTCTGATTGAGTTTTACATATCGTTTTAATTCAATTAAAGTATTGAACAGGGAAAGTATAAAGACGACCACCGTGCACGGGGGTGTAACTTCGTGTATATAATAATGAAGAATGAAGATGAGTAACACTTAATGCCCTTTTCATTATGCGTCGGAAACGTATGGTTGTGAGGCATAGATAACAAATGACTTCAAGGGATTAGGGGGTTGGATTAGTGTTTATAATTTGAAATAGCGCTATGATTTTGTCTGAATGTGCTTTATGTATTTTATATCAATTTCATTCAAATGAGATTTAGATCACTATTACCGTAAACATTTAAAAAGTGTGTAGGGGATGGGTCGGGCGGTACCGACGTCATCAACGCCGACGTCAGTATCTGACGAATTACGGCATCATTTCTTTTAAAATAATTTTCTAACATACATAATAGTTTTATTGTTCAGAAATTCCTTTCTTAAATCTGCAACAAAGAGGTATTTTGATAGGAAATAAAATATATCATTTATATCTTTTAATTGGCACAAACATGTCCAGTATATAAAACCGTCCTTTTGTATGGTGACTATAATAATTATGTAACTTCTTTCAGATATAAGATAAGTAACTGATTCGTGTGTCAAGAGGTTGAATGAGTTTAGTATTCATTCCGAATTTCAAAAGAACAAATCAAACTTTACACTGTATCTATCTAAAAAAAATCATATTTTTCAACTTCTTTTATATCTCTAAGCACATTTTATTCTACTTAAAAATCATAAATTTATGTTTCTATTTGTAACTATTTTATGATAATTTCAGCAAAATCACAATGTAAATCCTAACGTGTGAAGTCATCTTATATCAAATCCTTTTTGCTAATTTACCTGGATATGTAAACCAGAACAGACCGGTGTGTTAGTTACGATGACCATGATCGCTATCAGGGGTGGCCTTAGCTCAGCGGGGGTGCACTACCTCTCACCGGTACCTCACGTTTAGCCCCCTGGGCATCCCCATTTCAGTAAAGCCAAAGCACACCCACGCATGTACGTATTGCTTGGTCGTCTACTGAAAGGTCGCAAGGCCGTACGTATAATACCGGACGTAAAACCATCAAAATCAATTTGTACTGGCTCTTATTAAGATTCAGCTACCGTTTTTTGTCAGCACGTCAGACCAGAAACGTAAACGTCTCTGATCAGACACTTTGTTTAAAAAAGTTTTGTTTTAAAAAATAAACATCAGGCGGTTCAAACAGAGGCGTATAAAACCAGTATATATACACTATAGTATATAAACTCGGTAGTGAAGCGGACGTAAAACCTATCAATCTATCAATCAATCAATCAATCAATCAATTATGTCTCTGGTTAAAGGATTTTAAAAGGGGATGGCCGGGGTAGTTTTGGAACTGATCTCTTCTGTGTTGTGTCTTACGCCAAAGGTACAAACTTTTTTTATGTGACTCTAGATGTAAATTGAAGAATTTCTTCGGTATCACCCGGGACAGATTTTGAGTACAATTTATTATTTACGTTTCTTCAATGTTAATCGCGTTTTAATATATGAAGCATAACTTGTACAATGGAAACATAGTGATGCTTATACTTATTTCACTATGATTAACAATACAGTAAAACGTCACTCCGGACATTAAGGTCATAGGAGTGTATTGATAAACGGAAATAGGAAGTACATCCCTAGTTGAAAATCCAATGTAGGGAGACAGTATCACAATTTCCGCATATTCTGATGTTTAATATTAAACTGATAAATATTGCATGTTTATTATTGACAGAACAGTGTGTTCTCTCAATATTAAAGTATTTCAAAGCAATCCAGGCATAAATTCAGGGTTTTTTTATCAATGAATCACATGTGTCCATTTTTCTGTACTTCAGGAACCCGGCTACCTATTTCACTACTGTGAAGTTTTTCAAGAAAGATAACTCTTTACATGCAATTTTTTTGTGGCAGAAAGTTTTCTTTACTTCAACGGAATATAACTACAAAATTGGAAGAAATTTTACTGAGAAATGGTGACACAATCCTATTACCTTAAGTCTAGTTGGCATTTCCTGTTGTCTGCAATATTAGTGAGGAAATATAGACAACCCGAAACTTTTGAACCCCACCGTTGTTTCCGCCTCTTCCTCTAGACTCGTTGATGGTGGCATTTTAATCCAAAATGAAATTCGTCATCAAAGTCAATTTGAATGGACAAAGTCTAACGAACGGGACCTACATTCCGATTTTTTCAAGATTCAATTAAAAATTTGTTTACCTTCTCCTCCATGTTAGATAAAAAGCCAGACGGACCGATCCGTTAGTTGTAGTCTGGAAATGTAAAAGCTGTAGTATATCAATTCATAAAGAAAGCTCAATTGCTGTATTAATTTACCATTACTTCCTTTACCACCTATACCATCCTATAGCATCTATACTTCCTATATCACCTATACCCTCTTACAGTAACTATACGTCCTATACCCCCTATACCCTTCATCATCTATACTTCCTAAACCACCTGTACCTTCCTTCATCACCTATACGTCATATACCACCTATACCCGCCTACATCACGTTTACTTCCTATATCACATATACCCTCCTCCATAACCTATACACGTCATATACCACATACACCCTCCAACATCACCTATACGTCCTATACCACCTATACCCTCATACATCACCTATACGTCCTATATTCCCTTTTCCCTCCTACTTCACCTTTACTTCATATACACCTTTGCCCTCCTACATCATATTTACTTCCTATTCCATCTATACCCTCCTACATCACCTATACGTCCTTTACCACATATACTCTTCTACATCATCTATACCTCCTAACTAATCTATACTCTCCTAAACCATCTATACCCTCCTACATCAACTATACTTCCTATATCTGATTTACTTCATATACCACCTACACCTATCACATCACATTTACTTTCTATACAATCTATGCACTCCTACATCACCTTTACCTACTATACCGCCTATACCCTACTACATCATCTATACCCTCTTACACCACCTATACCATCCTACGTCACCTTTACTTTCTATACCTTCATACGTCACCTTAACTTCATATACCACCTTTACCCTCCTACATCACCTATACTTCCTAACCCACCTATACCTTCTTATGTCATCTATACTTCCTATACCACCTATACCCTCCTACGTCATCTATATTTCCTAAACCACCTATAACTTCATATATCACCTTTACCATCCTACATCATCTTTACTTCATATACCACCTATACTCTCCTACATCACATTTACTTCCTATACCACCTATAACCCTCCTACATCACCTATACTTTCTATACATTCCTACGTCACCTTAACTTCCTATACCACCATAACCTTCTACACTACCTATACTTCCTTTACCACCTACACCCTTCTACATTACCTACAAATGTCAACTGTCTTTACCATTTATACCCCCCTGCATTTATTTAGTTATTTTATTTTAGTAATTGTGTTTATTTATTTATTTCATTTTATTGATTAATTAATTAATTTGTTTTCTTTATTCAATTCATTTATTTTTATTTCAGTTTATTGATTTATTAAATAATTTGTTTTATTTATTGAATTTAATTATTTATTGAATTATTAATTTTATTCTTTATTAATCTTTTCAATATTTTAAATACTTAGTTGAATACTCAATAACTATTTTATTAAATGTTAAAAATTAATAATAATGTGTCCTCTTAATTCAGCTTAAAGAAATACCGAATACACAACTACTGTAGTAAAATTGCTAGGTCTCAATGATTTTCAATGATGTAATCAAAATATATATATTGTCAATGTTGGCAGGGGCCTTGTACCTCTTGAACCTCCCAGGAAGCACCCCCGATAACTATTGCGAGTCGAGCGCAGGACTTACATACTTCGACCTGGACGTAAACAAAACCCACAATATAGACAATAGAATTTACGAAAAAGCATACACACATGGAGATAAAACTACAAATATTTTATAAAATGAAACTCGCCGTTTAGACGCACTAATTATAAGCCTCTCTTCAATCCAGACTACCCTGGTGTCGTTACGAAACCATCAGCCCATGTGTGCAGTGATTGAAGTATTTGTAGATTTTGGTGAATTCGATTCATATATTCATATGATCAGAATGATATAAGTATAAAAATTAAATATCTAGAATATACAAATAACTAATTAATCAATTATTTTCTACTTATAATTTCACTGGCCAATTAAGGTACGTGTATAGACATGCATCCATCAATCAGCACACGACGCAGCCCAAATATCCGAATATAAATATAAGTCATTGCTAAACTTCCAACCGGTTATTTCATGTATTTATCTATTTTATTTGTATATTTATTTTCTTTTTAATTTGCAAACTTTATTATACATATAACATTTCTTTTCATATTAAAACATTCCAGCACTCACATATTCTTAAAATTATCTGTACCAGGGACGTATAGTGGATCGTTTACCTGTACATAGCCATCGATCGTTTTCTTAAATAACCAGAAAAACGCATATTCAACGCACATTCAACGCTAAATTTAAAACACACATCAAACGGTCAACGCAAACGCAACGCAAACGCAACGCAAACGCAACAGAAACTCAACGCAAACGCAACGGAAACGCAACGCACTTTTGGTAAAGAAAAACGGTCAAGGGTCTGTACCACTGTCATTAATTGTTGTTGTTGTTTTCTGTTTCATGGCACCCAGCACATCATGATTTCTATCGCATTGTGACTTTTGTAGTTGGCGACGAGTTAGTGAACCAACCTTGAGACTGGGTACAAGATCAAATGAGACAATACTGGTTAAGAAAATCAGGATAGAGCCAGAGGTGAGCACAACAGTTATTCGTCTTGTCATTCCCTTTTAAAAGGCAAACCCAGAGCTTTGTCCCTTGTTACAGGCCAATCTAGCTATGTCCTTTGTCAAAGACAAATCCAGATATATCCCTTGTCACAAACAAATCAACAGTTATGTCCCTTGTTACAGACAAATCTACAGTTATGTCCCTTGTCACAGACAAATCAACAGTTATGTCCCTTGTCACAAACAAATCAACAGTTATGTCCCTTGTCACAGACAAATCTACAGTTATGTCCCTTGTCACAGACAAATCAACAGTTATGTCCCTTGTCACAGACAAATCAACAGTTATGTCCCTTGTCACAGACAAATCTACAGTTATGTCCCTTGTCACAGACAAATCAACAGTTATGTCCCTTGTCACAGACAAATCAACAGTTATGTCCCTTGTCACAGACAAATCTACAGTTATGTCCCTTGTCACAGACAAATCTACAGTTATGTCCCTTGTCACAGACAAATCAACAGTTATGTCCCTTGTCACAGACAAATCAACAGTTATGTCCCTTGTCACAGACAAATCTACAGTTATGTCCCTTGTCACAGACAAATCTACAGTTATGTCCCTTGTCACAGACAAATCTACAGTTATGTCCCTTGTCACAGACAAATCTACAGTTATGTCCCTTGTCACAGACAAATCTACAGTTATGTCCCTTGTCACAGACAAATCTACAGTTATGTCCCTTGTCACAGACAAATCTACAGTTATGTCCCTTGTCACAGACAAATCTACAGTTATGTCCCTTGTCACAGACAAATCTACAGTTATGTCCCTTGTCACAGACAAATCTACAGTTATGTCCCTTGTCACAGACAAATCTACAGTTATGTCCCTTGTCACAGACAAATCTACAGTTATGTCCCTTGTCACAGACAAATCTACAGTTATGTCCCTTGTCACAGACAAATCTACAGTTATGTCCCTTGTCACAGACAAATCTACAGTTATGTCCCTTGTCACAGACAAATCTACAGTTATGTCCCTTGTCACAGACAAATCTACAGTTATGTCCCTTGTCACAGACAAATCTACAGTTATGTCCCTTGTCACAGACAAATCTACAGTTATGTCCCTTGTCACAGACAAATCTACAGTTATGTCCCTTGTCACAGACAAATCTACAGTTATGTCCCTTGTCACAGACAAATCTACAGTTATGTCCCTTGTCACAGACAAATCTACAGTTATGTCCCTTGTCACAGACAAATCTACAGTTATGTCCCTTGTCACAGACAAATCTACAGTTATGTCCCTTGTCACAGACAAATCTACAGTTATGTCCCTTGTCACAGACAAATCTACAGTTATGTCCCTTGTCACAGACAAATCTACAGTTATGTCCCTTGTCACAGACAAATCTACAGTTATGTCCCTTGTCACAGACAAATCTACAGTTATGTCCCTTGTCACAGACAAATCTACAGTTATGTCCCTTGTCACAGACAAATCTACAGTTATGTCCCTTGTCACAGACAAATCTACAGTTATGTCCCTTGTCACAGACAAATCTACAGTTATGTCCCTTGTCACAGACAAATCTACAGTTATGTCCCTTGTCACAGACAAATCTACAGTTATGTCCCTTGTCACAGACAAATCTACAGTTATGTCCCTTGTCACAGACAAATCTACAGTTATGTCCCTTGTCACAGACAAATCTACAGTTATGTCCCTTGTCACAGACAAATCTACAGTTATGTCCCTTGTCACAGACAAATCTACAGTTATGTCCCTTGTCACAGACAAATCTACAGTTATGTCCCTTGTCACAGACAAATCTACAGTTATGTCCCTTGTCACAGACAAATCTACAGTTATGTCCCTTGTCACAGACAAATCTACAGTTATGTCCCTTGTCACAGACAAATCTACAGTTATGTCCCTTGTCACAGACAAATCTACAGTTATGTCCCTTGTCACAGACAAATCTACAGTTATGTCCCTTGTCACAGACAAATCAACAGTTATGTCTCTTGTCACAGACAAATCTACAGTTATGTCCCTTGTCACAGACAAATCTACAGCTATGTCCCTTGTTACAGACGAATCTACTGTTATGTCCCTTGTCAAAGACAAATCCAGATATGTCCCTTGTCACAAACAAATCTACAGCTATGTCCCTTGTCACAGACAAATCAACAGTTATGTCCCTTGTCACAGACAAATCTACAGTTATGTCCCTTGTCACAGACAAATCTACAGCTATGTCCCTTGTCACAGACAAATCAACAATTATGTCTCTTGTCACAGACAAATCAACATATGTCCCTTGTCACAGACAAATCTACAGCGATGTCCCTTGTTACAGACAAATCAACAGCTATGTCCCTTGTCACAGACAAATCCAGATATGTCCCTTGTCACAGACAAATCAACAGTTATGTCCCTTGTCACAGACAAATCTACAGTTATGTCCCTTGTCACAGACGAATCCACAGTTATGTCCCTTGTCACAGACAAATCTACAGTTATGTCCCTTGTCACAGACAAATCCACAGTTATGTCCCTTGTCACAGACAAATCTACAGTTATGTCCCTTGTCACAGACAATATCACAGTAATTATTATTGTCATAGACAACATCACACCTATTCCTTTTGTCACAGACAAAACTGCAGGTATAACCCTTGTTGTTGCAAAGAGTTCCACTGCATCTGTGGTCCAGGGTCAATATTTTCTTTAAATTAGTTCTTCCAAATATCCATCAGGCACCCAGTGTAGATACTTGGCTACTAGTTTTCAATGTCACAAAGGTAACATTTGTTTAAAACTTAAAACATCTTCTTAGATCCCTAATTACTGGAGTAGTTGCTTGAGGATTGTTCAAATAGATAGCTTAACCATGTTCAATAATGTATCTTAACCATGTTCAATAAGATATCTTAACCAACTTTCATTAGGTAACTGAGGTCAGATATGTCTGGATTTTCAAAAAGTGTTTTCTTAAGATCGTAATGATTTAAAGCAATGCTATTTTATCTAAATCTTTGAATTCTGTTGTCTAGTTTCCTCTAAAGTTCTATAATACCTAGTGGTTAGGATATTACTGGTATCTTTTAGTTTGCTTGGGTGAAGGGGTATTATCTTTGTTTCAATACAGGTGTATATGACTTTGACATACTTTCAAACCACGGTTCAGATTTAGTTTAAAAAAAAGACCCTTTAAAATATGTATTTTAAAGATCAACAAGCTTAAGTACACGATAAATATTTTGTCAAGTACCTAGGGTATTGAAGGACTGTAGTGTAAATTGGTGTGGAAGGGTGTGTTTCTGCACATTGATGACAAAATTGATGGCTTGACTTGAAGAAGATAAACATGATGAAGATGACAATGATGATAATGAATGTGGTGTCGTTGTAGGTGTAGGCTTTTTGTTATGTTTTTGTATGATAAAAAAAAACCTAAAGTTGTTTGTTGGTGCAGTTGATAGTACACTGGCCTTTCACCAAGACAGAGGGAGTTTGACGTTCTGATCGGACGTGGGAAGGTGTTAGGTCCCCTGCCCAATCACATTCTCTGGGTAATCTGGTTTCCTCCCACTTTCAGGCCCCCTGTGCACTTCCAACCAGAGTGATTAGTATATGTTGAAATAACTTCTTTAGTAATTAAATATTTCCTGAAATATATGCAAATGTAAACATTTTTTTTTTACCAATACTGTTTATATTTATAGGATCCAACTAAATTTTACAACATTGATGGTGAGCTGTTCGAGTCTGTACCAGTGACAATAGAACTACTCAGGAAACGAGTAAAATTCTTCTGTGTGGACCCAGATTTCAAAATCAGCTGACATTGATTCTTGCCCTGGATTTATGGACAATTGCACACATTTCATGTAAACATCTTATGGTGATTTGAGAATGCAAGTGTATGTGTACTAGTATATGTGGATTCCATAGAACCTGAAGTCATTTTGATTCTTATCATTATGAACATATAAAGTTTGCCACCATATCAATATTAAAAGCTCTGCTCTTGAAATATATACTGGAATGCGAATATGATTCGAGGAAACTGGGCTGGTTATTTAAATATGTACATGCCTGTAAATAACCTGAAAACAGCTGACTTCACACAATGTCTTGTCAAAGTGAAGTGATACATCTATGTACAAATGTGGGACTGTAATTAAGCTAACCTTGGGGTTTGGCACACTGTTAACAGTAAATAGATCTTAATGAGGTGATCTTTTTATGTGTCATTTGGTAAATAAAACCTTTACAGATAACAAGGTATGTATTGTTTTATTATTTCTTTATTTGAAGAAAGGTAGATCACAATTTTCTTCTTAGTTTTTTAGAGTCGAGTTTTCGAGACTCTTTTAGTGTTGGATGATTCTCAAAATTGACAGGGAACTACTTTTTCAGCATTACGTTGCTGAAAATTTTAACTTTAATCCACAAATAGACAATAAGTAATAAATAAATCTGTTGGACATTTTTAGGTCACCTGAGCTTTACTCAAGTGACCTATTCCAATCACTTTCCGTCGTCCATCGTGCGTCGTGAGTAAACTTTTTACGTTATCAACTTTTTCTCAAGAACCAGTTGATGGAATTTTTTCTAACTTGGTCAGAATCATCCCTGGTAGATGAGGCTACCAAATTGTAAAATTGGGATTCCTACCCCAACCCTAGGGGCCAGGGCGGGGCTCAAAAGGGAAAATTAACCAATATTTAAATAATCTTCTTCTCCAGACTCAGAGGTATTACAGTCATTTTCTCTGCATGGATGGAAAGATCATCAGGGGCTTTATTTAAATTGTAAATTTCAGGACCCCCGAGCTATTCGTTCTCCCTTGGGGAGGGGGTAAAGTTTACTATAGTTTATATAGGGAAACAACACTTTTGGGTATATTTTGACAATTTTCTGTTGGAAATTATT